GGCCCACCATTGCGTCCGCAGCCTCACCCTCCCTGGCTGGCCCAGCCCCAAAGGCCTCCCATGCCACACAGGGGAGGGTCTGGTGGCTGGCAGTTCAGGCCCACAGAGGAAGGCTCAACAGTGGGTGGGCAGAGGGAGGCAAGACCCTGCGGGAGGCGCCCCCAGCCCAGGATCGGAGCAGAGAAGCCAGTGCGGCCCCGCCTGCTCCTATAGGTTCTCCCCGGGCTGGTACTGGGGCTCGGTGGATGTGAAGTAGTCCTCCAGGAAGGCCTGTAGGTACTCGAAGGTGGGCCGCTCCTCCGGCTCCTTCCGCCAGCACTGGCACATGAGGTCGTGCAGAGACTCGGGGCACTCGGGTGGGCAGGGCATCCGGTAGCCCCGCTCCACCTGGTCCAGCACCTCGCGGTTTACCATCCCTGTGGGCAGACGGAGGCAGGTGGTGGGGGAGCTGGTACACTAAAGGGCCTCCTGCCTAGGACAGCCTGGGTCAGTCCTGTCCCCAGGTGGAGCACCCGGACCACAGAAAGAGCCTCAAGTTAGATGCTCAACTTCTTTGCTACACGGATGGGAAACTGAGGCATGGGAGAGGGTGTAGCTTGCCCAAGGTCCCCGGGGCAGAGTGGCTCGGGGACCAAGGACAGGCTGGCTGCAGGGCCCTCTTACCAGGGTAAGGCACCCGCCCCTTCGTGGTGAGCTCTGTCAGCAGGATCCCGAAGGACCACACGTCTGACTTGATGGTGAACCGGCCGTACAGGGCGGCTTCCGGAGCTGTCCACTTGATGGGGAATTTGGCACCTGCAGGAGCGGAGAGAGGTCAGGGTGTCACGACCACTCTGCCAGAGAGTGGGACCTGAGCCCAGGGGCCGCCCACCAGCCCCGCCCACCTTGCCGGGCTGTGTACTCGTTGTCCTCGATGAGCCGAGCCAGCCCGAAATCAGCCACCTTGCACACGAGGTTCTCCCCGACCAGGATGTTGGCCGCGCGGAGGTCCCGGTGGACGTAGTTCATCCGCTCCACGTATGCCATGCCGGAGGCAATCTGCGGGCAGAACCCAGGGAGCCTGCTCAGGGGCACCCACACCCTTCCTAGGACCGTGGAGAAAAGGTCCCAGCTGACTCGCGTAGGTGAGAGCCAGGTCCTGCCTGCTGCCAGCCCCTCTCTGAACCTGTTTTTTCTTCTGTCAAATGAGACTAATAGCCGGTGCCCAACTCTCCTGACTGGGGAAAAAACTAAATGAAAAACTAGGTTGCTGAGCACTACCAAGGGCAAGTGCTAACATGTTTGCTGAGTGACTACATGACCTTTACAGAGAAGAAAACTGAGGCCTCAGGGCCCAGCACAAGTCACCATCTTCTGATGCTCAGCAAGACCTCTCCACTGTTCAGAACCACCACTCACAGAAACTGGAAGTGGTGCCAGTGATATATGGGGCAAGAATCATGAGTGTGGGGGCAATCAAGGCAGGCTTCCTGGAGGGAGCACTCAGGAGGCCAGAACTGGCTGAGCCAGATGGGTCTGGGTGCTCAAGGGCCAAGGGTGTGGGAGGCAGGAGGGCCTGACTCACCTGGGCAGCCATGTCCACCAGCTGAGGCAGCCGCAGGTACTTGCCCGTTTCCCCCTTGAGAAAGTCCAGCAAACTCCCTGGGCAGAGAGACTCCACGTTAGCCCCTGCCCTGTGCTCCCTCAGCCTGGAAGCAGTGACCCCCAGATCTTCTCCACCTGGCGGGCTGGCCTGGCTTCAACTAGCACAGCAGGTTGGTTTTTGTTGGTTGGTTGGGTTTTGGTTTGTCTGTTTTGATTTGCTATAGGACACATGTGCTCACCCGAGAGGGCAAGTGAGAAGGCACTCCCCAGGGGTGATGGCCACACAGTCCCCTTTCCTTCACTCTCCTCTTGGGATATGGGGCACACATGCACGGGCACTATGGGTGCTTTTCAAGTCACTGGGTCCAGGACTTGAACCACATAGTAAGCCATGTGGAATCAAGCTGTTCTAACCACTAGACCACCAGCTAGCCCAACAGCAGATTTGATGAAACCCACCTCCGCACAGAGTCTCACTCAGTGTTTGTCTCCTAAAAGGCAAGCAGGGTG